AACGTGAAGATTTTTGTCAATACGAATACATTCAGCAACTTGAGGTATGTAAAGTTCATTTTGAATAATTTTATGGAACACAACACAATCATCAAATTTGGAAAATGAATCCTGTTGGTGAATCAGCAACTGTAAGAGAATTAAGATCTTCAATAACATCATTTGATAAAAATTTCTGATATTCATCTTCTTGAAAAATTCTTTTAGTTGGTGATTTTCTTGGTACAGACATAACTGGAAGTGAAGCCGTTTCTATGCTAGCCGGATATATTGTAGGAACAGGCTTCAAATTATACAACAAACGAAATCGTTTTGCTGATGCTCCTTTGTGTATTAAATTTTCATCAAAATGTTTTAAACAGATCACAGATGATTTAGAGACAGTCCAGAAATTTCTGTTTACAAATCTAACCCATAACTTTCTTAAGTCATCATCTTTTGGAAAACCAAAAACTGGGACTACTTCACCACCATTATAATTAGAGGTACAACCAACAACACAGCATTTATTAACCATTATTATTATTAATAATTAAAAAGTAGTCACAAATAACAATACAGTTTGGCATTAATCTAACGCAAAAACTTTTATCCGGTGTCAGATTTACTTAACATTTATTATTATTATTTTATTTATTTAACACCCAATTTACAAGGTAAAAAGAAAAAAATAAGAAAGTTATTTTGGATGACTTTGCTTAAAAACGTTTTCTTCCAGAATTTGCTTGAAAACTCCTCTTTGCTCTTTTGCATTCCAGCACTCTATTGCATACTTCAAGTTTCGTTCAACTTCGGAAGGAATTTTACTTTTAGAAAGTGGTATTTTTACCTTCTTTTTATTTTGAATTAGGTTTTGAAAACTTAATATCTGAAGACGGCATAGTTCCTGAATATCACTAACAAACGAATGTTGAAATAACGGGTGTTGCAGTTGTGAAAAGATAATGTCTGCAGTTGTTTTGTTATTAAGAAGTCGAAGGAACAAGTTTAACTTATTTTGTTGAACACTTTTTGAAATTTCCTGAATTTTAAATAACAAATTCATATAGTTTTTACTATGTTTTGAATCATTTAAAAACGATTTTAGCGCACTCCTTCCAATTATATCTAGCTTTTTCATCAGACCAGGATTATTTTCACATAGCTCCATACCATAAGTTAAGGTGGGGACTGCCAATAATTTATATATATAGGAAATAGAACTGGGGTGGGCAAACCGGATTCCAGATTGAATAAGAGTTCGAACAACAGCTCTAAATTGATATTTTTTCATCAACATTTGAATAACTGAGTGAAGCAAAAACTGAATGTTTAGTATCCCATGTGAATCCCAGATGTCTAAGTTTATTCTGAAGATTTTTTTTATTACCAGAAATTGTTATTGTATACTAATACAATACAAGCCCAAATACTAATGTATTTGGGCTTTACCTGAGATCAAGAACTCAGTCTTTTCGGCATTCAGTTTAATACAATTTAGATTACTGTAAATATTGCATGTTTTTATAAGCTTTTTGAGACCAGATAAGGTAGAGCTTAAAAGTATTATATCATCCGCATAGGCTACCACACCAGTAAAGTTACCGTTTATAGATGTGCCAACAATACCCTGATTTTTAATAGTTTCGAGAAGACTTTCAGTGTAAATATTATAGAGGTGAGGCGAAAGAATTGATCCTTGTCTTACTCCTTGGTTTAGAGAAAAAAAGAGTTTGATTTACAACCTTGATATGAGACTGTTGCGCTATTATTGTTATACAACGAGGAGATAGTGTTAACTATACATAGTGGTAATTTTTTATCGAAATATAATTTTTCAAATAGGACATTCCAGTTACAGCTATCAAAAGCTTCTTCTGCATCTAAAGAACATAAATACACAGGGGAATGATTGCTGTTGTAATGTTTAATTGTTTCGCTTATTAGAAATTCAGCATGTAGCGTTGAAGAGTTAGCATTGAATCCAAATTGTAGGGAGTGAGTATCTCTAATATCCGGACATATAATTAAGATCAGGTATTCTAGAACCTTTGTAAAAATTGGTATAATACTAATACCACGATAGTTGCTCGGGCTATCTAAAGACTTTTTGTACGATTTAACAAGGGGTACAATAGTTGACGTCGACATTGATATTGGAGTCGATCCATAATTAATGGAGTAATTAAAAAATTTGATGAGCCATTTTGTTAAAGTATCGCACTTTGCGTATTTCAAATGTTCTGCTGAGATACCGAAAGAGTCAGGAGATTTTTTTAATTTTAAATTTGAAATAGCCCCAATTATATTTTCTTCAGTTATTGTTACATCATCATGTTTTGTACACGGGGGAATTCTCTGATTTTCTTTACGATGTGTTATTTTTGGAGTATTCAGTACTCTTTCGAAGTGGTTTGCGAATTCTGAAGTAATGGATTCTTTGTCTTTTTTATTATTTATGGTAAATAATCTAGAATTTATGTCTTTATTTAAACATCTAAAAGCATTCCAAAAGTTTTTTGGTTTAGTATTTTTTAACTTTTCAATTTTAATATATTGTGCGCAAATTTTATTATTTTGAGCCGACTTGACGGCTTTACGAAAGTTTTTACGAGCCATTTGGTAACGGTTAAATGATACCGAGTTTAACTCTTTAGAAAAACCAGAATCTCTCCATTTTTTAAAATGAATTGAAAGAATAGTTTTTGACCGACTTAATTCAGGTGTCCACCAAGATTTTGAATAAAAACATTGCTTTTTATTTTTTAAAGTCTCCTTAAAAGCTATTTGAGCGCTGTCAGTAATTTTTTTATAGATTTGGAGAAGGCCGTATTCATAATCGTTAGTAAAATTAAGATTGTTAAAGCGATTGGTTAAATGAACATTGTAAGAATTTATAAAGTTAGAATCGTTCCAAGCGTAGCTAGGAATATTAGTATCTTCTGCTAGTTCAATGGTATTACATTCGGTGTACTTAACTTCAACTGATATTGATAGTGGTAGGTGGTCGCTTAAATTATTTGAGCATTCAGGATGAACAATGCATTTAAGATTTATAAAGCTTGTATATTTTGATACGGCGAAGTGATCAATATATGACGAATTCGGTAGTGTCTGGTGCCGATATGTATAATTAGGGCCAGAACCTTTAGTTACATCTATTAGTTCTAATTGATTTGTTTTTAAAAATTTCGATAAGTGCACAGAATAACTATTTCTTTTAGAATTTGATCTTTCAAATAAATCATACATTTGGTGTGGAAAGGATTGGAAGTCACCTGCTAATATTATATTGCCGTTACCTTCGTAACTATCAATAGCGCAATATTTAAAATATTTTGAGAGAGTCTGTCCATATAATAGAATATACGTTATTTCAACTGGCCTTCTATTTTTTTTTGATTTAAGCAGATTAGAAGGCCGTGTATTTAAGTAGGCCATGTTACTATGAAATTTAAAATTTATTGATGAAGATAAGTCTAGTTAAAAATGATACAAAATATATTTCATCAACTTGTTGTTCTCACGTTTTGGGCAGGGGGGCTAAGATTTTACGGTTTCTTGTTCCAATTCTCCTATCACAGTAATTTTTATTTGTCAAGAATCTTTTTGTCATATATATAATTGTTGATTATTTCAAACATTTAAAAACCTTCCTACACCACTGAGATGATATACATATTTAAATATTAATTATCAATTAAATGTTATTATTTATATGTTTTTTTTCATAAATTATTTATTTTTATTTAATTAATAATTTAGTTTTTTATAATTTTCTATATTTTTAAATAATTAATCATTTATTTATTATATATTTATTAAGAGATGATCAGAAGAGTAGAAGTTCATAAAAATGTTATCAATGAGCTTTGTTTTCAATATTACTGATCTCGCGTAAGACTCGTTTTTTACGGACTTTCTATAGAGGGGTGTCTGAAAAAAACGTCCGCCTTAAGTTTAAATTATTTTTATTTGATTCGCCATTAATATATATATATATTTTTTTTATTTGAATTTTCATGCTATATTTTTCTATATAATGTTTTTATATCCGAAGATATTGTTGGTTTAGCATAGGAATTAATACATAAAGGTGAGTTTCCACTCATCCGTTTTTCTACGGGAAAGGGAAAAATAACCACGTGAGCATGCGCTGTTTTCTTTCGGACAATTAAAAACTTTTATTACGCATGCTCACGTGATTATTTTTTCCTTTCCTATCCCGTTTCCAGATGAGTGGAAACTCGCCTTAATACAAAAAAAAGTGCAATATGACTTGACCGGGAATCGAACTCCGGACTCCGCCGTCGTTGTTCAAAATATTATCCTCTCGGCCAAGTGAACACGTTAAAATTACGTAATTTAACTATATTAAAATTAATATTTGTATATATTTGAAAATGTTCTTTAAATTGGGATCCTGTGCCGCAAACAAAGGGCTTTGGGGTTTGTATAATGTATCTAAGGTACCTCCTCCGCCTTTTTTTTTTCAATATTTTTTTTTATTGATAAAAAAAGAGTTATTGGGGGGGGGGGGAGTTTATTTAAAAACGTACGTACTTTTTAAGGGGGGTGGGGACTTAAAAGTACGCATTGCAACTGGGGGAGAAGAGGGTCAAATTTCAAAACTTTTGGCGTACGTATTTTATGAACGATCCCTTAGTACGAATCAGTTAGAATTTAGTTTGTTTACATTTTTGTCCTTATTGAAGCTGAGAAATCCGTTGCGCAATTGAATTAGAAAAATGTCTTGGTTAAAACTTCTTTCCAATAAGCAAATCTAGGTTTGGCGTTTTTAATAAAATCTTGACCCAAATATAATATGTGCTTGAATATCGAGTTTATTTTTAATAATGATAAGTTATCACAAATTTTTCTACAATATAATAAAATTATTATTTGATATAATATACATGATAATTTATCAATCGCCAATTATTAGAATGAGTGTAAACGATTAAAATAAATTTAAAATATTTCGAGTCTTGATTTTACAAAACATGCGAAACCTAGATTTGCTCATTGGAAAAAAGTATCGACCAAATGATTAATACACGGCAACTGAGTCCGTATACATAATATTATTGAGTAGCCTAAAAAATATGTTTAATTTGTTGCAAAAAGGAATAGTCGACTCAACATCTACTTTGAGAAAAGAATGCAGGTATATTTTACTTTGTTTACCTTTTTATATATGATTAACATGATTGTTTAGAGCTAAAAAAAACTTAAAAAATTAGGGGTCTTTCAACTTTAGAAGTTGAGTGGATTCAAAGTTAATGCATTTTTTGAGCTGGAAAAACTGATGTTTTTTTGACAAAACACCTTGTCGTTAAGTATGGAAAAATTGCTGCGTAATGTCATCGAAATAAAATAAAAAAATATCAAAAATCTGGCACAAAAGTCAAAACAAACAATATGCAAAGGTAAAAAATCATTTTATCATATTTTCTACATGCAAATCCTAAGTACTAAATTAATTCAAGGAAACATAAATATTTGTTTTGAAATAAGGAAAAGCTATAGTTGAAGTTTTTTAAATGCTGAGAACTAAAAAAGTTATGTATGAATGTTAAAAAGAGGCCATATTCCATTAGATTTCTTGTTCCTTTTTTAAAATTAATTTTTAAACGCTGAGAACTAAAAAATTATGTATGAATATTAAAAAGAGGCCACATTCCATTAGATTCCTTGTCCCTTTTTTAATATATATATATATATATATATATATATATATATATATATATATATATATATATATATATATATATATATATATATATATTTTTTTTTTTTTTTTTTATTATGCTCTGGAATCGCTAACTGGTCAAAATTTTTCTTAACTAAAATTATCATAAGTTTATTAACTCTTATCTAAATGCTTATGACTTGGTATCAAAAGATTGGTGTTAGAGTAGGCTACAAGTTCATATTGGTTTTTACCCACCAGGTGCATTGGGGTGGCAAAAGGGGGCACTGAAGCAGCATTTTTACTTCTAATAAATGCAAATTTTATTCATAGAATAGTGCTTTTTTATTGAAATTGTTAATTTTCATATGCAAGAAATAGTAATAATTTGTTTCCAGACCACTGCTAAATATGAAAGGTTTATCTTCATGTTAGGGTAGGTGTGAGGGTGTCAGTTTTACCAACCCTATAACTAAATAATATTTATTTTCTGAATATTTTTATTTTTATTAAATAATATGTCTAATATTAAATACAAAAAACTAATTTTACTTCTTTACAATAGCAGCGCACACATCAAATTAAAGGAAGAGGCATGTGCCACCCTGTCTCTCCAAACTAAAATAAGATCTGAATTTTATGTGATTTAGAAAAGGATTTAAAATGCTATTATATATAATAATAGAAATTAATATGAAGCATATTTTACCACATTACAAGATGCATCATTTTACATTTAATTAACTTAGATCTTTAATAATGTTTTTATTATTATTGAAACGCATTTAAAATCCGTACTAATAATTTTTTTATTTAAAATTTTGAATATTATGAATATTTTTTTAATTTTATGTAATTATGTATTTTTTTATGATAAATGTTAATCTTTAAAATACAAAAAAAAAAGAAAAGAAAAAAAAAGAAAACAAATAATTTGTGTTTAGAATATGTTGTTCAAATAAAGCTTCATAAAAACTTATATATATATATATATATATATATATATATATATATATATATATATATATATATATATAATATATATATATATATATATATATATATATATATATATATATATATATATATATTTAAATAATATATATTTAAATATATATATATATTTTAAATCTTTAATATTTATATATTTATTTTTTTAAACGTGTAAGTGTTAACTAGCATGTGTTTATATACTTGCTATTTTTAAATTAGTAAAAAAAGCAGTAATTTAAATTAAATTGGCATATTTATTAAACAATCATTATTAGTAAGTTTTTACTTTATTTTAAATGATTTCCCATAATATTATAAAAAATAAGTAACAATAAAAAATTCAAAGTTTATTTTTCCAAATGTAAATAAAAACTTGATTTAAAAAATTTTATTTTTATTTTCGTTGAATGGTAATTTTATTTTTTGTTTTAGTTCATGGTTAACAACCATGGTCAAATCATTAAAACAAAGTTATTATTTGCGTGGTCATATAATGGCATGCAATCGGATGCCTCTAATAAAGGCCTGATTTAACTTGTTTAAACTTTTTATAGAATATAATTAAACTTTTATAAAATTATTAATTAAACTAGTTAAAGGTAAGTTAGCCAGTAGTTTAAAAATTAAAATTATTGAAACTGAATATTTAATATTTAATCACCATTTTATATAATGCCACAATAAAAATTACCAACACTAATCGTTCCCTTAATAGCTCAGTTGAAAAAATGCACTAATAATAATTATAGTTTATTTAAGTTTCTAAATGTGTTGATAACATTCATTTTTTAAATGATTTTCCAAATCGTGGCAAAATTTCAAGAGGTCTTTTAAAATGTTTTTATAAAAAAAATTGAATAAGAAAAAACAATAACAATGGTTTAAAATATATATATATATATATATATATATATATATATATATATATATATATATATATATATATATATATATATATATATATATATATATAAATTAAAAAATAAATTAGTAGAAAATCACTTAAATTTTTTTTTTTTTATTTTACACTGTGTTTCATCAACAAAGACTCATCAGAAATGTCAGAATCAAAGACTGCGTTTGGTACATATAAATATGCAGTTAGATAATTTTTAACAATTATTGAATATTTATATATATATATATATATATATATATATATATATATATATATATATATATATATATATATATATATATATATATATATATATATATATATATTTTACACTTTTTTTATTTATCAAAAATCAGTATCTAAAGTTTTCATTGCTTTTGGTAAAATTATATTTGTTAAAAAAAAAATATCTGATAAGTGAGTTTTTTGTCACAATTCTTCAATTTTTTAAATTCAGTATCCAGTGTACTTCTTTGGATACTACTTGCAAAAAGGAATGTGTTCTAGGAGCACTTTGGTTTCCATGGCTAAGATCTGGTTTCCCTATGGTTGGGCCTGTCACCCTGCAAAGAAATATAACAAAATATATTAACAGATATCTGAAGGTCAAGAAAAAACAACGTAACAGTAAGGCAGGATGTGTGCAATCTGGCACTGACTTTTTAAAGACTGTAAGATGTACTAACTACTTTTTATTCAAAAAGTTATTTATAATATCCTTTGAAATTCACTCCTTCAGTTTAAATTAAATAAACCTCAAAAATATTTACGTGAATTGTTAGTTTTTTATTTAATATAAATATTTTCAAGGACTGTCTTGGCTCAGTAACACAAAGAAAAGTCTTATCAAAGCAATCAAAGCAGACAAATATAGGATTCATTCCGACTAGTCTGAATGGGGAACCCCAGAAGTTACTGGAAATAAAGAAGAGTGTTGGCCTTCAAGGATGACTTTAATAAACCGGTCAGAAAGAAATGATTTGATTATCTCAAAAACTTTCCCAGAAACACCATATGAAGCAAGCTTATGGAGAAGACCAGCATGCCAAACTTTGTCAAAAGCTTTAGATATGTCGAGAGCAATAGCCCTAGCCTCACCGCCTCCATCTAATGCACAATAAAATCTTTCAGTTACAGCAGTTAGCAAGTCGGCCGTAGAGCGAGAGGATCGAAAACCGTATTGATTGTCTGACAGCAGTTTATTTGACTCAAGATGAGATGTGAGGAATTTGTTGATTAAAGACTCAAAGACCTTGCTAATAACAGAAAGAAGACTGATCGGACGATAATTGGAGGGGTCGGAATTTTCTCCAGAGTTTTTGAATATTGGAACCACAGATGCCATTTTCCAACAAGCAGGAAAACAAGACTCAGTCAAACACTTGTTGAATAGTTTAGAGAGAATTGAAGAAAGTTCTGGAGAATAATTCTGCAAGACTGTGACAGGAATGTTGTCTGGACCACAAGCTGTAGACGAGTTTAATTGAGATATGACTTTAGCAACAGAAGCCGGAGTGATTTAAATGTCTAACAATGGGTCAACCTGTTTGACTGGAATGGGAGGAAGAGAATGTCCATAAGATTCAAGAGTGGAATTAGAAGAAAAGTTCTTTGCAAACAGTTCTGCCTTATCCCTGGGAGAGGTAACAAGATCAGACTTTAATAAAAAAAGGAATTGAACAGGGTAAGGTGAAAATTCAGCTACACTTTGAAGGAAAGTTAATCAAGGTTTGCATATATTTAATTTTAACTAGTGTTTTAATTGAAAATAACTTTTTTTTTACATCGTTAATCTAATTCTTATTCTAGGACTTGATATCAAATCACGGTGATGTGGCAGTTGATAGGATTTGTGTTCTTGTGAGAGCTGGAGTTACTGATTATCTACTTAGCGCTCCAGGAGTTTATTCTGTTACAGGGCTAAATCAGTTCAAGGCTATCAAAAATATTTTGAATGAGTTTGAAATTGCTGATCACGTAAGGATGGTCTGCTAAAGTACTACTGCTAGCAATACTGGAATGATTCGTGATGCTATATACAGGTGAACTGTTTTCAATATAATTTAAAAGAGGTACTCTAAAAGCTAATTACAATTATAAACAATTTAGTTATAATCTTAACTTTTCAGACTGCGAAACAATATTGGTAAACCATTGTTGATACTTGCTTGTAGACATCATGTTATAGAAGTCATATTATTAAAATATTATTGGTTAGCAGTTACCATAGACAAAACCACAGGACCTGACAAGGCACTCTTTAAAGGCTTGAAAAGTAAGTGGAATGATATTGATGTGAAAAACTGTGTCATCACTCACTTCAAATGGCAATCTATTTATGATTCTTGGTTTAATGAACAAGCAGAAAAAGCAAGAAAATGTTTATTGATGATTGCGAATGAAGGTGTCTTCAAAAAATCTCAGGTAAACTTTTCTAA